GTCTATTGTGGGCTATGTCTTGCGTAAAAGATAGACAAATTTTATCTGTACACTTTCAAACCGATTGCTCGGATCTTGTAAGCATGTCTGAATCGCCATCAGATTGGCCATCATTCTTATCAGAGTTGGAAGCCTTTCGCAACCTTCGGGAAAGCTTTTTGGATTTCACCCTCACCCATATCCCCAGAAGTTCAAATGTCCGTGCGGATAGTCTTGCAAAAGGAGCTCGAGCAAAAGGCTGTATTTTCTCCCAAATCATTCATACCGAGCCAGTTGAAGACGGTTTTCGGACCATTTTGGGCCAAATGTGATGTAATAGTTGGGTTGTGGAAAAAAAAAAAAGATAATGCTTCTCGAAAAACTCCCACAACTACCCACCGATTATAAATTAAAGATAAACAAAATTTAAGAATACAGAAAAACAAAATAAAATTTGTGATAATTATCTTTTAGATTCAGGAATACAAATTTAGGTGTACAGATCCTAAACAAAAGACAAAATAAGAAAAATATGAAATATCTCTTCAATTCGATTAAAAAAACCTAAAGAAAAATTTTACAGAATACTTACAATCAATCTGAAATAACAGAAAATGAAGCTAATTATATTAAACTTTAAGTTACTTGATGTATATAACGAGGAGGTGTACACATCGATATTGTTTGACTATAACCACATATTCACCATTTTTCCATAGACGGCACTGACCTCACTGCATAACGAACAAATATGAAGAACTTTTGTGTCTTCTGTGCCCAGAAACATGAGGTGCACATGCTTGGCCCTTTAACATTTCGTCATGCCAATCAAGTTGAGCATTGGCATCTCCACATCCACATGACCAAACTTTCCTAAACTGAGGATTAGTTTCATATCTCCTTTTGGAGAATTCATCATGCAATTATTAACATAACCATGCTCACCGCCATTAATAATTTTCCGAATTATTCTCCTCATTGCCCCTCTGCCTAGTTTAGAAATATACTCCTCACCCACGGGGTGTTGGACCACTGCTTTCATGTACATCCCATACATGTAAACACCAGTTTCGTACCCCATATCTGCAGATTCCTTGATGAGTTCTATGCCACAATTGTCACCACGACAGAAGTAGTCTTGCATCCCTTTCATGAACAGCAAACCCGGATTGCGTGCATCATACATTCTCCTCAACAAGTTGGGAAATTCCCAACTTGCGATAAAAGACATATCAAAGTCTTCGGGAATAGGCATCTCCAATTCCACGGGATCAACAGATGCTAGAAAATTTTTGGTTATTGTGCACGCCTGGAACCGTTTGCAAACTTGCTTTAGGGTGCAAATTTGTTGGACCGAGTTGCAACTGTATGCGAGAACCTTCTGCAACAGTTCGTCCAGTAGGGGCATTAGAAGGGAGCCACTATCACGGATCTCTGTCTCACAACGCCCTCTCTTTGGTGCCATAGATAATTTTTGTGTATTGGAGGAGGAGGTTGACTCGAGGAGGAGGTTGATTTTTGAGAAAAACGGTTGTTCATGTGGAATAAACGCGGTTTCGAATTATAACAAAATGTAATGAGGCAAATATGAGAAGATGGGGAAAAAACGGTTATAATTTTAACATTAAAGACGGTTTGTTCAATTATAAGTATGACATATATATAATTATTAATAATTATTACTAACTGAGTTTATACATTAAATGTGGTTACTGTTAAGGTTGTACATTTGGTGTACACCAATTTCGTGTACACCTAAACGCATTTTGGTGTACAGGTCCCAAATTAATATGGACCAAAGTATTCACACCCAATTAATATAAAGTAAAGTTTAAGCATATAATTTATCAAGTGTATCAACATCCTAAGCATTATCAAGCACATAATCAAACAACTAAACCTTTCATAAACGGACTAAAGTGTTCACACCCAATTAATAAAAACTAAAGTTTAAGCATATAAATTATCAACTGTACCATCATCCTAAACATTATCAAGCACATAATCCAACAACTAAACCTTTCCTAAACTGTTAGTTCAACATTAGTACAACATTCATCCCAAGCGTTGGCAATGGCAACAGCCAGATTGCCAACCTACTCTTTGTAGGAGTCCATGGCGTATTTCTCCCTAAACCTGTCAATGTCATCGTCCGTTATCAAACTCATATCCTCCGCTCCAAGCCCTGCATCATGCATCTCTAAGAACTTGGCCGCACATGGACCACAGTCACCGGATCTCGCGTTCTGATATATGTCCTCCGAACGGCTCCATGTGTAAAGGGTGGTGCTTAGTCCTTCCGTTAATTTGCTATCCAAATAACGCTTCAATATAAATAGCAGGCCTTGACAAACGGGCGCCATATACTGCTCCAAAGCCGCTTCATCATTATGACTGATGAATGAGTCAAAAATCTTTATGTTGCCCATTTTAAGGTCAATTACAAGGCCCACCCAATGGCCAGACCCCCAGTTCATCGGGACGTAGATAACATCCACAAACCATAGAAACATTTGTCTCTCTCGCTGAATAGTCCACTTTGTAGGTTTTCCTATTACAATGCCATGAATGGTTTTCCACCAATCATAATGATTTTTGTCTCCTGATATGAAAGTCTTGTAGTAGTTTACGATGATGGATATGAACAAGATGTCTACAAATGCTGCCCTGTCTTTTAAGTATATTTCACCTCTACGTCTTTAAAGCATGGCCATTATGACTTGCATGTGCTGATTACGAAGATAAACAAAAAAATAAATAACAGATAATACATATAAAAAATCATTAGGTAGACACTATGTACTTACCATTGTGTTAACCCACTCAGTAGGGTTCACCATTTGAAAGAAGAATTGGAATGTTCACAGTTTGACCAGTGACAATGCAAAAGTCGCTGTAATCAGAGCAACTGTAAATGATAATAATGAAAGTTTTAGCATAAATTGCATTGCATATGATATAACTTACATGTTCCTTTCACGCGATAATAACTCCTGGAATGCATTGAACTGGTCTTGTTCCACAGTTTCCAAGGGTTTGTACGCAGCTTTCGATCTGGATCCAAATAGAGCTTTCACCTTTTCATCAGCAGTGTAAATATCTCGAATTTTGTCCAACCGTACGCGTGCGCGTTTTCCTCTTCCTCTTCCTCTTCCTTTTCCTCTTCCTCTTCCTCTTCCTCTTCCTCTTCCTCTTCTATTTCTCTTTAGGTCAGACGATCCCTAAACTTCTTGTGGGGATTTTGGAGTACAAGGGGTCTTATGTGAAGCATCACTTGCATCATCAGGCGCAATATGGTAATCTTTCGGCGCATTAAAGTTTTCTGCTTTATTAGCCACAGCCTACAAAGCGTAACAATAAAGCGTATACCATATCATTGTATACCTAATGTATACCTAAAGAGGACCGTATACCTAACTAGCCAAGTGTAATGTCTGACCTGTGCGTCATGTGCATCTGTCTACGCTTCATTTTTATTATATCCATAACTTAATAGCTGAGGTGTCTGAGGTTTGTAGAGTACTAAGATGTCTGACCCCAAATTAGTTCGACCACCATACACCTGAATAATCCAGCGAAATTAATGCATAGTACACACCAATTATGACACTTAATACAGTCAATTGCTGACTAAACAATTAGCTCACCTCATTGGGGCCAAAACGTGGAGCTTCATCCGGATTGACGCAAGAAGCAGGTGGGCGACTTGTTCCTGAATTGGCTTGTTCAGGGGTCTTCATTGGAGCTTTTGGAGTCTTCATGTGAAAATGGTCCATGGGAGAATAATGGTCCCCGCCGTAGTAGGAAGACGTAACTTCTTCATCATCTCTTTCTTTCAGGTGTACACCACCATGTCCACCATCTTGGTGGTGTACACCTCCACCATGGCGTAAGTTAGACTGTGCACCATCACCTCCTTCTTCACCTCCATCTTCATCTTCATCTTCATCCGGGTTTTCACCACCTTTTTTCGGATGTTGTCCTTCGTCATCCTCTTCACCATCTTGTTTTTGATGGTGTACACCGTAATTTTCTTCATCCGGTTGGTATACGCCTAATCTCTTGTCCAACTCGGTCTTAATCTTAGTCAGGAGCAATTCATTCTGACTTACTATCTATCTTTTAAGCTCTGCAAGCTGTCTATTTTCTATGTGCCTCTTTTCCTCTGCGGTTTACATTTTTCAGTTTGATGTGTTTTCAGATTCTTCTTCGGTCGGGTGGATGGCTCCGGTTCCTGTTCATGGTTTCCCTCCTCCTTGCATCACTAAGATCCATGATAGGAGCCACAGCAAAATCCGAAGGTGATAATTTGTACCCTCAGCCATGAGTTCCTGCATGAATGCAACTTCGACATCCTCTACCTCATCTCCCCCAACACAATTCATTCTGTTGGTCATTGTCACCAACATCCACTACCATCGGTTTCACAGACAACAGACACAAAAAATAGAAAAATTAAGGCTACTAATAATATCACCAAGTGCAGACATATAAGACTAATAAAGACTACTTATAAGACAAGTACTACAAATAAGACTAAAAATCAGACTACAAATAAGACTTACTAGAGGTTCCGATTCCACGGCAAGTATGTCCTCAAGATGCAAGAGTGTGATAACATTTTGACAACCTTCGGGACACTACAGGAAAATAAGGTATTGTTAGCATCGAAAAAACGTTCTCTAACAATACCATAGCGGTTTTAAAAACGTTCTATCATCGCCCGTCATAATAGGTCGGCCACATTAGATAGCGGTTTTTAGTCATGCTATTGCTTCATCATTTAATATAGCACATTTTTGTCTGCAATTATATATTCTACAATAGCATTTCAATTTTGTTATTTATATTATTATTCATATCGATTTGGGTTTACATTTTGAATTTTAAATTTTGAATTTCGAATTTTAAATTCCATAAAAATTTTAATTCACAAGGGCAAAAAAATAATCATTAATAGTAGCAGTATTTTACAAAAAAAACACATGAAATACTTCAATTATTTAAAACAGAAATTGTACTCATGAAACTTAGCAAACTAGATAAAGCCCATTTCATCTTCTAGTACAATTCCTTCCTCTGCTCCACAAGAATCCTTTTCAAGAGCCTCTTCTACTTTCTGAAATGTAAAAGGAAAAAAAAAACCAATCAGATCAAAATCCTCACCTGTACGAATAAAAGACTACAAGTAATAGAGAATCAAAGAAGTTTTAAGTGATAAAGAGCTCAACAGTTAAAGCTTTTGAAACCATGCTAACGTCTATAGAGTTGTATGGAATGAGGCTGTGATAGAATAACTATGTGAAGAGCATACAATGCCAAGTGTAAAGACAAGTAAAATTCAGTATACAATTGAATTTGATCAATCAATGATAAGCTCTAAAAGAGAAAAAGTCAACTTAGCAGCGTTAATCTTGTACAACTTTAAGGTTGAGAAGCATTAAACTAGGAAGTGCAAGTTTGCTTGGTTCCAATATAGTCAATTGGCTCTAAGAAAAAATCTCTACTTGAACGGTATCATTCGCTAAGCTTTTTTATCACAAACCTATGTAGGATACAAGATAGATAGGTTAGGCATAAAAATGATATATACAAAGACAGAAATGAAGGGTAAATGTCTGCTTTTTCAAACAGATTCCAGGAACTTCGTCTATGAAATCAAGGAATCAAATACAAACATTACCTGCTTTCGATGTAATCTTGTAGCTGTTATCATGAATAAGAGAATAGATTTGCCACATATCAGCTTAATCATATAGGGCTCTGCAAAGATACTAATAAACAATCCAATCAAACATCAAATAGTAACTTTGATGAGATAACGAATTTGTGTGGTTTCAGCTAGAAGCTAATATAAACAAAGAGCAAGCTTTACAGTTCAAGTAATTGGAATTCCATATATAAACTCGCTGAGAGAAGATTAAAACCATAGACGGAGAAAGAACAAGACAGCCGAAACTGGAATCGAGTTCTGTACGAGAGCTACCAGAATTTCACAACAGATTTAAATACTTTTAAGTCCAAATCCAAAGGTCCCTGAAACAAACTCACCAACAGGAGTGAGTATAAATTTGCTTACAGCACAAAGATTCGAAACTTTCTACATAGTCACAAAATGAATCGGAGAGGAGAAAAAGGAGCCAACTTTCTACATAATCAGATAACTGAATCGGAAGGGGGAAAAAAAGAGACTAGGTTGAACAGCAAAAGCAAAACCGAAGCGTTAAGTCAGGATGGAGAAAGTAGGTTACGAGTTGGTAATTTTGATGTAAAATGAGAAATCTCAACAAATAAAGAGCCAATCAAGGGTCGCTAGTCCTATAACTAGAAACCCAAGATCTAAACCACAAAATACCTGAGGATGAGGAATTGTGGTCTTGTAGCGGCAAGGGAGTAGCGGTGGTGTGAAGAAGCGAGAGATAGAGAGGCGGCGAGAGAGTGAGTTAGCAAGAGTGAGGATAGAGAGCAAGTCGGCCAGAGAGAGGGAGTCGAGAGAGGCGACCGGCAAGAGAAAGTCACGGCAAGACTGGGCGAGGCGGCAAGCGAGAGGAGAGCGTGAGATTATGAGGAGAACTCGAGAGCTGAGAGTAAGAAATTCGATAGAGATAATTAGGTTTTTGAGTAAGACCAGATCTGTGTAGCAGAAGAGTGATACTATTAAGTTTTTGACTTAGAGAATTTTTAAAAGAGTTCGATTTTTACGCTCTCACATGGCATAGCGTTTTAAATATGGTATGTGCAATTAAATAAATGCTGAGAGCCAAAAAGAATTAACGCATTCATTTTTTAAAAAACCAAATAAACCGATAACGTTTATAGATTTACAAACGCTATGTAAAAGTCAACGTTAAATAAAACATAGTACAACTGCATAAAACGCTATCTTCTAATGCTAATAATACTCGATATTTTTGTAGTGGGAAATTCAATGAAAGTCTTCAAGTTATCAGGTTGAGGAATTTTGGAGACCAACATTGGTATAGATTGGAGGGCCATAAGTTTTAGTGATAGAGGGAACCTGTAGCATGCACTGGTTTGCTGTTTAAGTTGACGACGCAATTGTGTTAAAGGATTCTCCATTTTTTGGGCATCGGTGATTGGCTTAGGAGCTTAAAAACGAGAAATTGTTTTGTTAAACGATACCCTACCCCATGGATACTGCATGAAGTTATCCAAGTCAATCAACATCTCTACGTATTTCTCGGTCAAAGCAAGATTTTTGCTATTACAGAAGAGAACACCGTCAACACGAACGATTAGGGCCAATGGTAGCCGTTTCCATTGGGGTTGATCCAGGTCCATTAGCATATCAAGCACTTGAAATACGTTCATAGCAGTTGCTCTTCCAAATAGGTCTTTCCACATTCCCGTCTTCCCGACATCATCTTCTTCTGCATTGCTATCAGGTTCGGGATTGCGATTCAATCCCGTGATTTCCTTAAACTCCCGTAACGAATATGTCAGAGGGTGTCCACCAAAGAGGAACCAAATCTCATGTTTCTTTGTGGTCATTAATTGTCGTGATAGAAGAGCATGGACTAGTTTGGCGCTGTTGCAACATCTTGCAACAGGTAGATCGAATAGCTTTCCAAACTGGGAATGAAGTAGCTTCTTAAGATCTTCAGTACCTTTAAAGCTTCGACAAGGAGGCCAATTACATTGGCCTTTGAATATTTGTTCAACCGAGCACCAATGGGGTAGCAACCATCGGCGAGGACCCTTCTTGGTAGTTTATCCGAAAGGTTATTTGAACCTTCTCCATCCCCTATGCCTGGTATTTGAACCAACACAACAAATCTAAAATGCATGGAGGGTATAATATTCTGGAGTACCAGTGAAATGCAAAGCACGGGGGAGTTTCAGAATTTTGAAGGAGAAAACAGGGATCTTAATAAACTACCCTATTCATATGCTCTCATATATAAACTTTTGTAAGTGTTTTCTAGATGGTATAAGAGTAATCCAACCGTTTCAATTCAATGTACACACTACTAGAGTTAAGAAACCACTAATAATCCAATCAGGCCAATTAGGCGAACCATTTCAATTTTAATTAGAGTTAAGAAACCGCTACTAGAGTTCAAGGTCAGAGTTCATAAAAGTAACTTACTTTTTGAATTCTGAGCAGGCGAGTCTAGAAGAAGAGGAGCAAATTGTATTCTGGAGCTACACCAAACTTACTTTTTGAATTCTGAGCAGGCGAGTCTAGAAGAAGAGGAGCAAATTGTATTCTGGAGCTACACCACCAGTGTGGATTGAGACCAGGCGCCTCTATGGAAGGTTCAACCCGGTCACTCCGTCGTGGTGGCATGGGCGACTACTCCGTCGAAGGTGTCTTCGAGTTACTCCGGAGCAGCCGCGTGACTACCAGAGGTGCGACAGTCTTGCACCTAAATGATTTTAAAACACTCGGCGGTATTACAACGGTAAATCGGAGGGCTAATCAGAGATGGATTGACAGAGATGCTAGATTGACTACGTCGAGAGGTGGATTTTAATTTTTGTTTTATTTAGATGTGGTCGATAAATTATACATTGGTTTTACATTGGTTTATGATAATGGACCTCGATTTAGCAAATTAAATTTTACAAGAAATAAATTTATCATCGGTTAACCAAATCGGATTTTACAAGAAATATTTTATTATTTTAGTTCAACAATGGCAATTTTGAAAATAAAAAGTAGCCATATGGGGGTGTGGCTATGGTGATGAGAAACCTTTTTTCTCTTTTTTGTTAAAGGAGAAACTTTTTTTCCTTCTCTTTTATATAGAAGAATCTTTAAATACACTATATATATATATATAAGTAATCTTCATAACTGAGAACATTAGATATTTACCGAATTTTTTTATGAACAGATTGATTTTATTATACTCAAATAAAAAAACCAATATCGAAATCAATGAAAATCGACATTAGTATATATATATATATATATTGTAATTCAATTTAAATTAAAAAATTTCTCTCTGCACGATGGCGACGGAGAAACTTGGGTAAACATTGGGATGGTCTCCGTTTCACGATGGAAAGCGGGTCAAAAAGGAAAACGATTAGCGGACACCAGGAAATCAATCCAAGATGCGGTCAAGACGAAGCTCGGTAGTTTTTCGGAAAGCAATGTTACGAGGATTAAATCCATATTATCTCGATCTGATATTGCAGATGCAAGGATCTATAAAACGGATCACTATATCGGTGCTGTAATTCAAATTACTCCGAGAATACTTGGAGTGCTTCCATATAAGGGTGTCAAATATCTAATAGGATTGGAAAGTGAAGATATGATCTGGGATTTAAAAACTATGTCCCGACAGAGGGATTCACAGAAATCTCGGAAAAGAGTAAGATTGGGTGTCGACTTCCAGTCCATGATTCGGAGTAATGATGGACGGATTCGAATGGATTCTGGTTTCCGCGGTGTATGCTATTATGTTTGGCTCGGTTTTAGACAAAGGCAACAGAAAAGATTCTGCAGGATTAAAACTCGCCAATTACAGAAGTATTTGAAGCAAGTCATGTATGTAGAGATGATCTCGGTGATTAATTTCTGGAGATTACATATTGCGAATCAAATTTTACAATCAATGTACAATCTGTATTGCGCAAATCGGGTGCAATATATAAAGAGGAATGGTGTCATCGATTCTAAGCACACAAACCCCTTTATTCCTTTTGATCTCTCTTCTCAGCCCTTCCTTCTTTCTACACGAACAGAACAAATGGCTCAGAGCAATTTGGTTAAACAAATTGGGTTGGGGATGAATGCGGAAAAGTCTCTTAAGCGGTTGAAGATTACCTGTTCCACACTTTGACAACACAAACTTGATCGAAAGCTATTCACGGACGTTAATCGGTCGGTGTATGAATCCACATATGCAAGATATGAAGGCCTTGCTGTTCATGCTTCCCAGAATCTGGAAAGTTGAGGAAAGGGTGGCGGGTGCAGATTTGGGTCTCGGTCGATTCCAATTCGATTTTGACAAGGAGGAAAACATAGCTGAGGTAATGAAAATGCAACCTTTTCATTTTGATTACTGGATGCTCTCGTTGGTGCGGTGGTCTCCTGTGGTGGATCCGAATTACCCATCAGCGATTAAGTTTTGGGTACGCGTCATTGGCGTTCCCTTACACTTCTGGGCGGATGAAACTTTCCGGTGTATTGGGAAAGCCATTGGGGATGTCAAAGCGGTCAATCTAGACGACGGAAAGATTCAAGTGGTCATCGATGGGCAAAAGCCACTGTGCTTTGAAACGGTCGTCGAGTTCCAGGGTGGGGAGGAAACGATCGTTTATTTAAGATATGAGAGGCTTTTTGGTTACTGCAGAAATTGTTTTAGCCTATGTCACGATCACCAGCGGTGCCCAAATCGGTCAGATGTGGCGGATCGCAAGTTTGCGGAGGATAACGGTGAGGACCAAGGGAAAATCCATGGACCTGCATCTTATAGAGCCGCGATGTTACATGTAAATGCAGCAAATAAGGAAAGGGGAAGAAATGGAGGTTCTGTTGGATCACAGAAAGGTCCACAAAAAGGAAAGGGCAAGGAGAGCTCTCGTCAAAACGCAGCGGACGAAGACGGAAGGCAGCAGCGAAGCAGGTCGGAGTGGAAATACGGTGAAGGCTCGTCGCGATATACCCGGCCATCAAGCTATGTCCCTCCCAAGGAAATGACTCAGAAGCAGACAACCTCAGGTGCCATGCGGAACACACCAAGGCAGCTGGAGAAAATTCAGGCGAACTCGGATCAAGCTAAGGTGGATCAAACAAAAAAAGATCGGAAAGAGGACGAAAGGCAAATGACACAATCGGTCAAAGGCATAACTTCTACGGTTTTGCCTTTGGAAAGTTCGGCGAGGAAGAGCTTGACGTTTGAAGATGGTGGTTTTGTTAGTTTTGGATCTCGGGACACAGATTTAATGGATTCGGAGAACATGAATTGGTTGGCAGAAATTTCTGATTCCTTTGGTAGTTTTGAGGAAGCAATCATGGGTGAGGAGGCTTCAGGTGATGATCATGGGATGGGTATGATGTTAGAGGGACAGGAAAATCACATGTTGAAAGCGGCTACTCCAAAAGAAACGCAAGGGGTATTAACGGAGGAGAATGAGAGGTGTGGAAAAGAGGATGGAGAGATTGTTGAAGTATCTGAAATGGTGAATCAAAAAGATGAGGGGAAGATGGAGACGCTGAAGGAGTCTGAAAACGGTGGTGGCACAGCTCGGGAGACTATGATAGAGACAAAGGAGATGGACTCGGAAGCTTTGGTGGGGAACAGGGAACAAAGAAGAAACTCTCCAAGACTTCCTCGCAGGTTTTAGTAGGCACCACAAAGAAACGGTTGGTGCAAGCTCTAATCTCTCCTCGGAAAAAACAGGCAGCAAAAACTTCAGATCGGAACAAGGAAGGAACAGGTTTAGGCGGCTCAAAGGGTTCATCAGACCCGATAATAGATCCAAAACCATGACCTATTTGATTTATGCGGATTCTCAGCTGGAATTGCCAAGGCGTAGGGAGTCACTGGACAATAAGTTATCTTCGGGAGGTGTGGAAGAGACACAGACCTGAGTTCTTGTTTCTTTCTGAAACCAAACAAGATTTTTCGTTTTTACAAAAATTTCAATTTCATTTCGGTTATTATAAATTGTACACGGTGGAGCCGTGCGGTGCAAGTGGTGGACTTGCTTTATTTTATAATTCTGCTTTTGATGTTACTATTTTATTTTCGAATAATAGAATTATTGATATCAAAGCAAATGTTCTCGGAAAAAAAGTATTTATATCTTTTATTTATGGAGATCCGGTTCCAAAATTGAGGGACCAAGTTTGGGAAAGACTAACACGAATAAGCCTTAATCGGAATGACCCTTGGTTTATTATTGGTGATTTAAACGAAATAACGAGTAATCATGAAAAAGAAGGAGGTACTCTAAGGCATGCTTCAACCTTTGTATCATTTAACCTCATGATTCGAGACTGCGGTTTCCTGGAATTTCCATGTTTGGGAAATACTATGTCTTGGAGAGGACGGCGGAATTCAAAAGTGGTGAGGTGTAAACTAGATCGGGCTCTAGAAAATGCAGATTGGCATGAGATTTTTCCCCACTCTGTAGTCGAGTATTTGGCAATGATCGGTTCGGATCATAGGCCAATAGTCGCTACAATTGTGGATAAAATTCCAAGGAAAAAATCACAGTTTCGATTTGATAAAAGATGGTTAGGACAAGAAGGCCTAATGGAATCTATTTTTAGAGGTTGGGATTTAGGTAATGGACGAGAAGTGAAGTTTGTAGACAAAATACGTAATTGCCGAAGGGAAATATCCAAATGGAGGAAAACCTCCTCACCATATGGACAGGAAAAAATTAATGAGTTAAAACGGGCTTTAGACGAGATTCAGACGGATGATACAAGTACGGAGGAGGAGTTATTAGAGATCACAAAAAGTTATAGGAAGCATATAGAGATGAAGAATTATTCTGGCAACAAAAAAGCCGTACCCATTGGGCGAGGGATGGAGACAAGAATACAAAATTCTATCATGCATTAGTAAAACAAAGGAGAGCGCGGAACCGAATTATTGGCCTACATAACACAGCAGGTGTATGGGTTACTTCCGAAAAAGAGATACAACAAGTGGCGGAAAAATATTTTGAAGACCTTTTTACGTCGACATCGCCGACAGAGGTTGAGGAAGTACTAGGAGAGATAAAACCCTTAATTTCGGAAACCAATAATGAGATGCTCACGGCCAGGGCTACCGAGGAGGAAGTACGGAAGGCTCTCTTTATGATGCATCCTGAAAAAGCTCCGGGACCAGACGGCATGACTGCACTTTTCTACCAACGCTCGTGGCAAATCATTAAGGCAGATATTGTAGGATTAGTTAACGGTTTTCTGGACACAGGGAGCTTCGATGAGAGATTGAACATGACAAATATTTGTCTAATACCAAAAACGGAAAGACCCACCAGGATGACAGAATTACGCCCCATAAGCCTATGCAACGTAGGCTATAAGATAATTTCCAAAGTATTATGTCAAAGGTTGAAAAAGCTATTACCAGACCTGATATCGGAAACACAATCAGCCTTTGTGGCAGGACGGTTGATTTCGGATAATATCCTAATTGCCCAGGAGATGTTTCACGGACTTCGGACCAACAAATCCTGCAAAACAAATTTGTTGCAGTTAAGAGTGATATGAGTAAAGCTTATGATAGAGTTGAATGGGGCTTTATTGAGAATTTGTTGAGACGTTTTGGCTTTGCGGAAAAATGGATAGTTTGGATGATGAGATGTATAACTTCGGTTCGATATAAAGTCCTCTTAAATGGACAACCAAAGGGACAAATTATTCCTGGCAGAGGATTACGTCAAGGGGATCCCCTATCACCATATCTATTTATACTATGCATGGAGGCCTTAATTTCGAATATAAGGAAAGCGGAAGAGGAAAAATTACTGACAGGCCTAAAGATTGCAAGGGCGAGCCCACCGATTACACACTTACTTTTTGCGGATGATAGTTTATTCTTTTGCAAAGCAAAAAAGGAAGAGATTCAGAAGATTCTATCTATATTAAATAAGTATGAAAGAGCCTCAGGCCAACAAATTAATTTTGATAAATCATCTCTGTTATTTGGCCATACGGTTTCTGAGGAGGTACAAAATGAGTTGAAACAACTATTAGGTATTTCGAAGATTGGAGGAACTGGATCCTACTTGGGTATCCCGGAAAGTCTAGATGGGGCCAAAAGTAGGGTCTTTAATTTTGTAGCAGAAAGACAGCATGATCGGATTAATGGCTGGACATCGCGGTTATTATCAAAAGGTGGAAAAGAAGTCTTACTTAAGTCAGTGGCATCGGCAATGCCTACCTTTGTAATGTCATGCTTTTGTTTACCCAAGTCTACGACGGCAAAATTGACAAGTGCAGCGGCGAGATATTGGTGGTCCTCTGATGGTCACAATAGAGGAATGCATTGGATCGCATGGAACAAGATGTGCAGAGGCAAAACAGAAGGAGGAATTGGTTTCCAAAATGTGGAGGATTTTAACACAGCACTATTGGCAAAACAATTATGGTGTTTATTCGATAAACCAAATTCATTGTTTGCACGAGTTTTTAAGGGACGATACTTTCGGAGTTCTTCTCCTTTGGAACCTATCCGCTCATACTCGCCATCCTATGGCTGGTGGAGTATAATATCGGCTAGATCTCTGGTTAATAAAGGGCTAATCAAAAGAGTTGGTTCGGGCTGTTCCATTTCGGTATGGAATAACCTCTGGATATCAGACTCTCGCCCGAGATCAGCCACTTGTAAGGGTTTTAATTATTACCCGAATCTAATGGTAAATCACCTGATTGATCCAATGACAAATACTTGGAATATGGGCTTGCTAAACGCAATTATTGAACCTGCGGATGTGGAAATTATTCGAGGAATACCTATTAGTAGGACCTACAGTCCTGATTCACTAGGCTGGCATTTTACCAAATCTGGTAGATATACGGTTAAATCGGGATATCACATTGAGCAACAATACAAGGACTGCCAGCCGGATGATCTCTACGGCCCAGATGTTAAAGTACTACAGGCTCATACATGGAAATTAGAGTGTGCACCGAAACTAAGACACTTTATTTGGCAGGCTATATCTGGATGTCTATCAGTGTCGGCTAGGTTACAGACACGTGGAATACAGTGCGACACTCAATGCGCACGATGCGGAGCAGAGGAAGAAACTATTAACCATGTTCTATTTGAATGCCCCCCTGCCCTGCAGACTTGGGCTATGTCTCAGATACCAACCCCTTCGGGCGTTTTTCCAATGACTTCGGTTTTCTCAAATTTCGACCATCTGTTTTGGAGATTGCCAAAGGATTCTAACAATTCACAATTTCCATGGATTGCGTGGTATATATGGAAAGCAAGAAATGAGAAAGTTTATTCGAATATCGATGTGGACCCAAGGATTACTTTAAAAAAAGCAGAAATTGAGGCGGTACTATGGACAGAGGCTCAAGCGAATGAGCAAGATTTAGGGATACAACACAATAGGACCATTCTGAGGTCACAACCCATGACATACGAGGGCTGGTGGTGTTTTATTAATGCATCTTGGAAGGCAACAGATTTGTCAACGGGATTGGGATGGTATTATTTCAATGATAGGATTATGGACAAAATATTGGGAGCACGAAATGTCAGACGGAGTCTATCACCTCTGCATGCAGAGATGGAAGCCCTAATTTGGGCCATGCTTTGCATGATCGAGAATCAGAAGACAGAGATCGCTTTTGCAACAGACTGTTCGGATTTGGTGCAGATGGTGTCTGAACCCGCCGAATGGCCAGCTTTTGCTATACACTTGGAGAAAATCGTGAAGATCAAGGAGAGATTTAGTTTATTTTCACTATCCCACATTCCACGCGCAAAAAATATGGAGGCAGATAACCTAGCAAGAAGTACTCGGATCTATTCTCATGATGTTAATTATGTAAACTCGGTACCTCCGATTTGGTCTGTCAAACCGTTTTAGATATCTAGGCTGTTGACAAAAAAAAAAGTAACCATATGGATCTCGCAGAAATATAAACAGTAAAAACTACCTTATCTATTATTGGTTTTCAAAACTACTCATTCTTCTAGTTAAAAACTTAAAAATTATATATTCAGTAATTTTTTGAAAACTTAACGGCATAAAGAAAGAAAAAAAAAGGAAAAAAAAATTATTGTGCTGGATTTGATTGGGCCCACAGTATCAAGTTGAAAGAACCGGATATAATTAAGGAACCGATTCGGTTATTGAAAAGCAAACCGAGCCGAGTATTTGACCTGGTTTTTGACCAAGTCACAAAATTAAGTTTCCTATAAATACACAAGAGATCCCTCTCTCTACCTTCTCTGGAAATTAGGGTTTTTTTGCCTCTTCGCTTACCGCCTCAACTACGCGTCTCCGCGAGCCGCCGTCTACAGGTTACTTCATCGCTTACAATCTTCTGTGTTGCATCTGGAACTGATTTCAATCTCTTGTAGATTATTCTGCTAAATCGCCATCTCTGTTTTGAATCTACAGTAGAATTCTGGTCTGTTTGTTAGAAAATTGAATCACTAAATTCGCTTCTGATATGGTGAGAAACAAAGCTTTTTAATTGGCTCTGTTTAAGTTCGTAATCAGTAGCCTCGTGCTAAGTTTTTTCCAAGTTGAGTCACTGTTTCATGAGTAATGCCATTAAAGCAGATTAAAGATATATTAGTGAGTAATTCAAGATGAGAATAGATAATAATACTTCTCAGACTCAGTTCTTCAATTGGTTTCCTGTAAAGTTGATTGCTTTACAAGGAAATAAAAGTTTTTGTACTGATTACTTCTGATTTTGTAATATATTACGTAAATTCTTATATAATTGGTCTCTGAATATCTTTGCTCGTTTTGTAAATCAGAATGGATTCTCAGATCAAGCACGCCGTTGTGGTCAAAGTGATGGGTCGTACCGGATCCAGGGGTCAGGTGACTCAGGTTCGAGTGAAGTTCACCGATTCCGATCGTTTTATTATGCGAAATGTTAAAGGGCCCGTGAGAGAAGGCGATATCCTCACTTTGCTCGAGTCCGAGAGAGAAGCTAGGAGACTTCGTTGATGCGCCTGCAGTTATTTCTGTCTTTTGATATTATGCTTTTGACTCGTACTTTGTTGTTGTTTTAAGACAATTTGTGGATTCATATCTTTTCTTTTTTTTTGGTATACAAAGTCTCTTATCTGTTTGTCTGAAACTCTTTATAATTAACTCTTATTCCCCACATCATGAAACTACTGAATATTCTCGATCACATCTTCAAACCACGGAAAACCCCTTTTTTTTGTTTCGCTGATGCTAACATCCCAAATTTTTGGAACCCAAGAAAATATTTGCTTACGGCCTTATAAAAAAAAAAAACAAATCCTGCTTAACGCAGTCAACCCTCCAAAATCTATTTGGACACAACTAAAGTTCATGTATCTGCGAAACCCGCTACAGTAACCTAGCCTTGGCTATAATCCATAAGACAAATGACTAGTCTTTCAAATCTATGCTTTAAAGTTCAAATCAAAACATATAACATACATACCTCATCACAATCACTTTTTTTTTAGCATGATTCATTTTGAGGCCAACCTTGGTTTTAGCCTTGAGGTGGACATCGTCTAGACCGTAGGGGTTAGGCATGAAACATGGAAGTTTGAACTGATCTTGATCTTGAACTTGAACCTTCCAAACAGAGAAAAATAAAAACATACCGGTTGTGAGGGTTTTGGCTTACCGTAACATTTCTAGGTCGCTAATGGTCATTGAAGTGCCCCACGCTGGCTAATCATTCTAGATTTTGGCATACGTCTTACACATGATGAAATGATTATCTAGGTTGGATTGAAACAGAAACGAATACGTGAAAACAGAAACAGATATGTGGAAATGGATATGTAGAAATAGATACATGTGGAAACGGATATGTGGAAACAAAATATTTAGAAATGTGGTGTTGAAGTATTGAACCACACACTGATTAATACGGAGTCGTTTAGTCTAGTCATCTTGAGTAGTCTTAACCGGGTTCAATCTTATGTTGGGTTGTTGGTTAAAGAGTTATCTGGTTGAGTCGGTATGCTTGTAACCCTAAGTATAAAGGGATCTGTATCTAGACTCGATCAGATACACATACATTGACTAGTCGACGATCATCTTCTTTCTTGAGCTTCTCGGAGCTGGGAGCTTGAGTTTCTTTGTTTGTTCCAGTGGATTTTCTGGATCGTATCCAGCCCCTGTGACGTAGCTACCCACCTCGGGAGTGAACACAAGGTGAACAATTCTCGTGCCTTGTTTCTTGCTTTATCTTCATACTCGTATTCGAGAGAGTGAGAGATTTGAGAGTTAGAGTAGATCGAATCCTAATTGCAGGCGCAACAAGTGGTATCAGAGCGCTAGTTGTTTTTGTCAGAGGTTTCGATGTCGATCCCGAATATGCGTCCAGAGGTTGTGCTCTTCGATGGATCTGGCGATTTCTCGCTATGGACGATTCACATGATGGCACACTTCGGTGTGGCTGGCCTGAAGGAGGTGATTCTTGATGACAATTTCGAGATCACGGTTCCGTTATCAAAAGCCGAGGAGAAGAAGGCAGCGTCGGATTCTTCTCCCTCCGATGATAAGACAGAGAAGACGGCACCCAGTACAAAGGTAATTCTTGATCCTGCTAAACTGGAGAAAGATAAGCGTGCCAAGGATATGATAATAGTGAATATTGGAGATCAAGTACTTAGGAAGATTCAACACTGTACAACGGCTGCGTCAATGTGGTCTTTGTTGGATCGTTTGTATCGATCGAAGTCGTTACCTAATCGCATCTTTGTGCAATCGCAATTCTACACCTTCAAGTGTGATAGCACCAAGACGATTGATGTTAATGTGGATGAATTTCTCAAGATCATGGCTGAGATGAGCAGCTTGAATGTTAGTGTATCATATGAGATACAGGGGGTAGTGTTTCTGAACTCTCTTCCATTGAGCTACGATGCTCTCAAGCACACGCTAAAGTACGAGAAATAATCATTAACATTGGAGGAGGTGATTTCAGCTGCAAGATCGAAGCAGAGGGAGATAACCGAGAGTAGTAAGTCAGATAAAGGGGCTGCTACGGTGTTATACTCAGGTGAACGAGGAAGGACTCAGAAACGAGACTTAAGTGATTCTCGTGGTGGAAAGAAAAGTCGTAGCACGTCAAAAGGAAGAAAGGTGACGTGTTGGTACTGCAAGAAAGACGGACATGTCAAGAAAGACTGCTATGCAAGGAAGAAGAAATACGAAAGTGACACTGAATAAGAAGCAGCTGTGGCGGTTCATCAGCCAGTGACCATGGATGCTTTGACAGTGCCAAGTGATGAAGCTCAGAACAATTGGGTAATAGATTCGGGATGCACACATCATATGACATCACACAGGGATTGGTTCGTAGAGTTTGAAGAAAATGGTTCAGGCAAGATTCTGCTTAGTGGTAATCATATGGTGGAGTCATTGGGAACATGCACAATACTTTTAGACACCAAAGGTGGATCCATCAAACGTATGCAGAATGTTTGCTATGTGCCAACACTTCGGAGAAACCTCATATCTACTGGAACGTTAGACAAACTGGGATTCACTCAACTCCGGTGGGAATGGTAAAATCAAATTTCATAAGAACAACAGGCTTGCTCTACATGGGACACTGAAGAATGGGTTATACATCTTGGATGGCGAGACAATTACTTCAGAGTTGTGTCAAGCTGAGGGTGCAACGACTAAAGCGTTATTGTGGCACAGCAGGTTAGGTCACATGAGCTACAAGAATCTTCAAGTGCTAGTAAGAAATGGGATTCTTCGGTAGAAAGATATTGGTCAGGAGATATTCTGTGAGAATTGTGTTCTAGGTAAGTCCAAGAAAGTCAGCTTTGGGACAGGTAAACACGAGACTGAACATGTTCTAGATTACGTCCATGCTGATCTTTGGGGGTCCCCAAACGTGCATTCATCCTTATCAGGTAACCAGTATTTTCTTTCTATCATAGATAATCATTCACGAAAGGTTTGTATTATGTTTCTTAAAACTAAAGATGAAACGTTTGCTAGGTTTAGTGATTGGGTAACTTGAGTGGAAAAACAGGTTGATAAGAAAGTAAAATGCTTAAGAACTGATAATGGCCTAGAATTTTGCAATACAGTGTTTGATGAGTTTTACAGGAAGAAGGGCATCGCTAGACACCTAACTTGTACCTACACCCCTCAGCAAAACGAAGTAGCTGAACGGATCAACAGAACCATCATGGAGAAGGTCAGGTGCCTCTTAAGTGAGTCTGGTCTTAGTGAGGATTTCTGGGCTGAAGCGGCATCAACTTCAGCTTACATCATCAATAGAACTCCATCATCAACAGTCGGTTTTAAAACTCCTGAAGAGGTCTGGTTGGGGAAGAAACCAAGTTACAATCACATTAGAAGGTTCAGATCAATCGCATATGTTCATACAGATCAAGGTAAACTGAAGCCCAGAGTAGTTAAGGGTGTTTTCATAGGCTATCCGGTTGGCACCAAAGGCTATAAGGTGTGGTTGATGGAGGGGGCACGGTGTGTTATTAGCAGAAATGTTCGATTTAATGAGAGTCAAGTCTACAAAGATTTGATGTTGGAAAGTAAGGCTACACCAGGAGAGAGCCACAGGACTGGTGGAGTTGTTAAGAAGGTCTACACTCAATCATCAGAAACTCAGGTTGATACTTCAAGATATGGTGGAGCTGATTCAGATATTGGCAAGATGGATGACAGTGAGGATGAAGCAGCTGGAGAAGAGTCTACGGAAAGGGAAAGATCTAGTCTGACTAATTACCAGCTTGCAAGAGACCGTCCTCGTAGAGTCATTGTCCCACCAGTCATATATAATGACTATGAGTGTGATGAAGTGGCATTCGCACTAATAATGTCAGAACTCATGAGTGTGGAAGAGCCAAGGGACTTCAAGGAAGCAATGGCGAGTGCGGATAAAGAAAAGTGGAACGATGCAACAGATGAAGAAATGAATTTTCTTGTGAAGAATAATACATGGATACTGGTGGATAGGCCTAAAGACAGAAAGATCATCAGTTGTAGGTGGTTATTCAAGATCAAGCCGGGTATTGAGGGAGTTGAGCCAGACAGGTACAAGTCACATTGGGTTGCTAGGGGTTTCACGCAGAGAGAAGGTATTGATTAACAGGAGGTGTTTTCTCCTGTAGAAGCATGTGTCGATCAGGGTATTGTTGTCATTGGTGCTGAATCTGAACTTGGAGTTGGAACAAATGGATGTGAAGACAGCCTTCCTCCATGGTAACCTTGAAAGATCTGTATATGTGGCAGCCAAAAGGTTATGAGGATCAGAAGCACAGAGATAAGGTGTGTCTTTTGAAGAAGTCATTGTATGGCTTAAAACAATCACCACGGCAATGAATAAGTGGTTTGATGAAGTTATGATGGCACAAGGTTTCAGCAAAAGTGAACGTGACACATGCGTATACAAAAAGAAAATATCTCATCAGAACTACATATATCTCCTATTATATGTAGATGATATGTTGTTGGCTGCTAAAGACATGTCGGAGATTAATAAGGTAAAGGAACAGTTGAGTCCGATCTTCGAAATGAAGGATCTAGGGGCTGCACGAAGGATCTTGGACATGGATATAATCAGAGATAGGAAATATGGCACATTACACTTGTCTCAGTCCGATTACTTGAAGAAGGTTATTAAAAATTTTAGGATGATGGATGCCAAGGTTTCTAGACGCCGATTGGAGCTCATTTAAAGTTGTCATCAGTTCTAGACGACAGCGAGATCATTGATACAGAGGTAACTCCCTACTCATCTGCCGTAGGTAGTATTATGTATGCAATGGTGGGTTCTCGTCCAAACTTAGCATATGGAATTGGGCTGGTAAGCCGTTTTATGAGTAAACCGGGAAAGATTCATTGGGAAGCAGTAAAGTGGTTGCTGAGGTACATTAAAGGGTCTCTAGATGTGCATCTGAGTTATGGAAAGGACAAGGATATAGAGAGTCAAGGGTACTGTGATTCTGACTTCGCAGCAGACTTAGATAGGAGAAGATCCATTTCGGGGTACGTGTTTACAGTTGGAGGAAATGTTGTAAGTTGGAGGTTGTGCTTGCAACCGGTGGTAGCCTTGTCAACGACAGAGGCAGAGTATATCTCTCTGACAGAGGCTGTAAAAGAGGTCATTTGTCTCAGGGGATTACTTGATGATTT